CAGAGAAAACCACACATGCCTGCTTCCTCTAGAATGTAGTCAGACTCCAGCATGCTCTGAGCAGCCAGCCCATTTCCCAGAATACAATGAAGTAAAATTAGGTATTAAAAAAAAACAATTACAAAAAAATTACTAGATACTGATTTATGATTTCTTTAGTAATTTGCTAAAGCAGCTTGTATTCCCTATTTGTCAAGCATGACTTCACTTATTACCTGGGAAAATAGCTGGAACTATTGGTCATACCTTAAAAACCTGCGGACTGCCACCTACTCTCCTTTGAATCCTGCTTGCCCACTCCTCCTTGTGGTTTTAGAATATAACTGGAGTTGTCGTCAGAGCCTTGCAACTGCCCTGACTACTGCCCACCAGCGACGTCTCCTCTCTTCCGCTCTCAGTGGTGTCTGAGCGCCTACTCCAGGAAGGTGCCTTCAACAATAGCTGGCCGGCCATGTGTTCTAAGGATCTTGGGCTTTATGCTATTGGTGTACTCACTAAGTCAAAGACCCATAGGGATAGAATTCTAATACCAAGACCCCCTCCCGTCTTTTCCCACCTTGAAGGAACTATAAAATGTCACAGAAATAGTCATTTCGAAGCAGAGATTCAAACAGCCGATAAGATCATCCTTGACTCTAGTACAGTCCTTGGTCATTCCCCCTCAACCTCGCCAATTCTTCAAGGGCTGCCTGTCAGAGGACAACCCTCACGTCCTTCCTCCCTTTGACCTCCCGCCTCTAGTTCAAGGAAGTAAAAGTCCTCAGCCCTGATAGGAACTAGGCATGAAAAGCTTGTTTGATAAAAATCTCTCCCATGTTTTATCATCCAAGTAGACCAGAAGAGATTTTTAAATTGTCTTTGTGCGGTTGAATCATGTTAATAAAACACAAACTGAAGTTGCATATGATGGGGTCACTCCTGTAAGAGAGCCACTCATTGGGCTGAAGCTGCAGGAGAGTTCAAAGTCAGCCTGGGCAACCAAGCTGAACACACCAAAAAAGAAAGGAACAGAAAGAAACAAATGTATTTAATTCTTCCCCTGCTAATGATCCCTTTCCCTATTTTATCCAACAGCTACACTAAAACTTCTTGTAAACAGATTCCTGTACATCTGAGAGCCTCCAATCTTTAAGCTATCAGGGTAGACAATCTCCCAAACCTGGACTGCGTTCCAAAGCGTTTAATAACAAGGGAACATGGGAACATTTCTTCAGCAAATGGCATCCTTTTAATCTTTTGATTATTCGATTTTCTTTTCATTATGCTGTGCTGTAGAAGATTTAGCTGATGCAGCTTAAAATGTTACCTGTCAAGGTAAGGTACTAGGATACACACTTTACCCCAGGTGGGACTCGAACCCACAATCCCTGGCTTAGGAGGCCAGTGCCTTATCCATTAGGCCACTGGGGCAGGTGGTAAGCTTCACCCTTGAAGTTTATTAAAAGGAATACTTCCGTGCCGGTGGTTAAACTCGTTCAGCTACTGGTGTAGGCATTTATTTATCCAAGATATCTTGCCCGAGTCATTGTAGTCTTCCAGCCCCAGCGCCCTCGCATGCCACGAGCTCTTCTGGCTGGGCACGTTCCGGATCTTGCAATCTCAGTCCATCGCTCCGCCGGGCCCCGCGACTGCACTTCCTCCCCAGGGTTGCCTGACTCCGGACACACCGCATTAAACCTTAGGATGAAGACTTGGGTAGCACTAGGAAAAAATGGGGGTCCCTAGCTGGCTCTGTCGGTGAAGTCCTGGACCCTCGAAAATCCCTTTCATGTGTTCTTCCCTGGCCTCTCATTGAACCGTACCGCAGAGAGAGACGCAGGGGACAGACCCAGACCGAAACAGAGGAACCCACCCACCTGACCCTACAAGGCTCGATCGCAGAAGTCAGAGCCTTCGAGTCCTCACGCGTGCAGCCACGGGACTGGACGCCACCTTCGGAGCTTCGGCACCGTCCAGGGTCCAGAAGATTCAGCCCTGAGCCTCTCGCTGTGCAGCCACCGGTGCACCCGGGGTATCGGGGTGCCAGACAAAACCTTCCAGAGCGACCCGAAGCGACTTCCTTGGCGGCGTTTTCAGGAAACTCTTCGTTCCCGGTAACTGGCAATTTGCCTAGTGGTGAAAATTCGGCAGAATCCGAAGCTTTTCCGACCAGTCTACACGCCGCCGTCCAGCTCCCGGAACCTTAGAGGGACACCTTCCTCCTCCTCCCATCTGTCAGCGTCCTCTGCTCTGGAATCTGCCTTGCCGTTCCGAACTATAGTGCTGGGAGGCCGAGGCTCATCCGGGACTGCAGAGGCGGGCGCTGCCTGCGGTTCTTAGAATAGGTTTCCAGTCCGAAGCCTGAAGTGAACTTCGCTAGCTTTTAAAAAAAAAAAAAAATCCTTTTCATTTTCACGGAAATGCAAGAGAAAAAGAAAGATCCAACTAAGACCCAAAAAACTGAGGTCCTAGCTAGTTCCAGCGCGGGTCTGCGCCTCGGAGACCTGAAAAAGATGCTAGGAGACCAGAGGGCCCGAGGAGGGCACAGACCTCAGACGACTCTTCAGGTTGTGTTGGGACCCAAGAACAGACTTCTGACAGCTAGAGTCGGTAATCTGGTACCAGATTTGTCCCTAAAGGCTACTGACAAACTTCAAACTGACATTTTTAGCAGGCCAGCTGTCTTGTAGATTGTACCACAATACTGAATAATAGTGTTTTGTAGTCCAGGCTGCCTCAGACACACTAAACGGCTGAGGATGACCTTGAACTTCCGACCCTCCTTCCTCCACTTCCCAAACTCTGGGATTACTAGCGTGGTGCGTGCCACACTGAGCTTCTAATTGTTTTCTTATCATCAGAGCCGTAGTAAATTCTTTGGCAAAAGCGCTACACAAACTCTGGGACTAGTCGGCAGGTCCATGGCAGCTTGGAAGAGCCATTTTGTTGAGCTGTGTTTTCGAATGCCTGAACGGCATTTGCACATTCTTCTTGCACGTTTGTAAGACTTGTTCGTAGAAACACGATCGTCTCTGACCCTGATGGAAAAGGTTCCCTCTTTTTCTCTTCTTCAGGTTGCGTGCAGGGGATTCAACCAGAGACTATGGCTTGCTAGACAGGGTGCAGCCTCTTTCTTCTTTAACTCACTCCTTGAAGGTTTTTGAAGAGTGCAGTGATAATAAACCAGGAAATGTAACTTTTTTCTCCACAAACCCTGGAGCGATATGTAAGGTTCTCAACAGCTTGGGCCATCTCCTCTCCCAAACAGCAACCAGAGGGGTGGGGTGGGCGTGGGGGGGGTTCCTATGCATCTCACCTGTCCAGCACAAATTCAAGGGGTCCCAGCCACCTGCTCCAGTTCTCCCAGCATCCCCGGGTCCCAGAGGGATTGATTGACAAATGCCTTGTAAGGAAGTATTAGTTTGAGGCTCCGTGCACTTCCCCAGGGTTCCCAGGGTCATTTACATTTGGCTAAAAATTCCTTTAGGGTCGAGAAAGTTCTCTGCTGTGGTTGGTTGGAACTTGAGGGGGAGAGGGGAGGAGTATTTCACTACTTAGCTCAGACTGTCCTTTAACTCAGTCTCCTGCCCCATCCACCCTAGTACCGGAATCTGGCGTGCACCATCCTACCCACTTTCAAGGCTGTTTGGGTTTTGGGTTTTTTGTTTTATTGGGGTTTTTTTGTTGTTGTTTTTTTTGACACCACACCTGGATTGATTTTTTTTAATCCAGCATTTTTCATTATTTTTATACATCAGGTTAGTTTGAATAATCCCAGCCATTCTCGTTGATGGAAGTTTTGAATTATGAGATGATGCCATGGCTCAGATGATTGCCTAGCTCTGGGCTCCAACCTGAACACCGGATTAATTCACATGCCTATAGTTTCCAGCAAATGAGAAATGGAGGCAGGAAGGTCAGAAACGCAAAGTTCAAGACAAACCTGAGCTACAGGAGACCCTGCCTCAAACAGAAAACAAACAAGCAAGAACCACCTTGAGTACTTTAGAGACTTCTATTTGTTTAGTCAGTCCTTCTATTTAGCCAAGGTTGACTTTTAATTCTGAGATCCTCTAGGACCAGGATCACCTGGCCAAAACGTTATGGGCTCGTCCGGGATTTGAACCCGGGACCTCTCGCACCCTAAGCGAGAATCATACCCCTAGACCAACGAGCCTTGTAACATAAGCCCATCTGTTTCTTTTAAGGGTGGTGACCAATTCCCGTGATTGGTTTGCACATATCTAAAAAGTTTCAGATCCATCTGAAAAGGGTAAATTTAAAAGCAGGAGAAACTGCTCCAGTGCCGGACTCCATCCAGAACGTCAAAAATAGATAACTCTTCGTGACTCTTAACTCACTGTAACCCATGGCCCCTCTCCAGCTGGCTCAAAGTAGAGAAGACCAACAAGATAAGATCGTTCACTACTTCCAAGTCTGAGTTCCTCTCTGTCCTGTGGTTGAGAGAACATTTGGAAAGGATGCAGAACTAAATCCAAACTAAAATACCAAACCGCCCAACGTGGGGCTCGAACCCACGACCCTGAGATTAAGAGTCTCATGCTCTACCGACTGAGCTAGCCGGGCGCCTTAGGTGACTGCCGCTGAATACACAAATTAGTAAGGGTAGCCTGAGGGTACTGGAACTTAAGTCTTTATCAGAGACTGAAACCATTTTGAAATTCCCCCCACAAAGATGCTCAGCTCAGACACTCCGGCTGCTCCCTCCCTCAGGCCACGAACGCCTTTGCCCGTGGAGGTGAGCCCCAGGGCTGGTAAGTGCAACCCAATTCTCCAACACATCGCTCTCCCCAGGATAAAACTATTGCCTAGGAGGGTTACGGGCTGACCCGCCAGCTCCCTTCTTCTCCCCGACCTAGGGGTCTCGCATCTCTGTCTCCAGGTGTCGCCTCCTCCACAAAACAAGCTTTCCCCCAACCAGTCAGTCCCGCACCTAATCGCGTTTGTCTCACACCTCACGAAAGTATCTACACAGTCAGACGTAGGGGACAAAATCCGACATGTCTGGCGGTGGAGGAGCGCATCGGAACCTAAGACCGCACTTGTGTCGAGCTTTGTCGCCTCTACGCCTGCCCCGACGTGGGCTTCTCCGCTTTTCCCATCTCAGTTTCCCCGGAACTAAACCTAAATGGGAGAAGGATCGCTTTCGGTAGGGCGGGAACCCTGGAGTTAGGAGACTTACCTTCTCGGGTATTGCGCTTAGTCTAAGAACCATACAGCCTGGGAGCTGGTACAGGGTAGCCCTAAGGAGACACGAGTCGGTAAACTATATTCCAACTGGGACGCGGAGAGTGGGTGAACAGAGCCTACTTTGAAGTCATAGGTGAGGCTCCAATGTGGCTAGAAACACTGACTCCAGCCATCCCAAGTGTCCCCAGTACCTGGATTGCACGCCCAGGGACCTAATCCAATGACCCTTGTACAAAGAGTTCATCCTGCTTCGACGAGGACAGATTCGACACACAGCCTAGAAGCCAACACGGGGCCTTACGCTAGACAAAGGCTCATCTACTTTTTACGTTTCAACTGTGTGTTTTCAAATGTAGAAACATTTGCTCCTTTTCTTCAATTCAAAAGATGGAAGAACTTTTCTGCTTCAGAGATATTCCGATTATTTCCCTTTTTTAAATATAGTGAGCGCAATTGTGTTATGATTGTCTGTTGTCTTCGGCGTCTGAAATCTTTGTAATTTTCTTTTACGCCTATTACTTTCATTGTGTGGCCATATTATATCGTGTTTCTTTGGTAGTTTTTAAGGCGAACTGTCCTTTCTCTGTGTGTGGATATTTCTGTGAAATATAACAGAAATGTGAAATTTTCTACCCAAAATTGGCTGCTTGCTTCTGCCTTGAACAGAAGGACCTAACAAGCCTGTGTCTCTAACTAAATCCTCGTCACCGTGCCCACACTCTCCCGCGTTGTTACTTAAAATACAAATTCGCATCATTCACGATCCTGACTCATAGTAAAATTTCAAACCCTTCTTCATCCCAAACAAAAGTGAAGAGCCCTTGCCAATAGACAGAAGACTGTAGTTGTCAACCTGTAGATAGCGACCCTTTCTCAGCTGTCGCCTAAGACCATCGGAAATACAGATGTTTACATTACAATTCATAACAGTAGCAAAATTACACCTACGAAGTAGCAACGAAATAATTTTACAGTGGGGGTCACCACAACATGAGGAACTGTATTAAAGGGTCGCAGCTTTAGCAAAGGTTGAGAGCCACTGCTCTGGAATGGAAGGAACCCAGATTTGTAGGTACTAGGTGAAACTCGGGACCCGAGTTTGGCAGCTGTAGAGAGCATGAAGCCTTTTTTAAAATTGTTTTCCTATGACTGAGTAGTGTAGGATGCGCTGGGTTCAATCCCTACTTTTAAAAAGGAGGGCGGGAAGTTTGTTAGAATGTGCCGCGCTGGGTTTCAGAGTTAAGTTTCACTCTCGGAACCACATCTGGTGATGAGAAGGAGAGAATATGATGTTGGGGAGAGGAGGGAGGCTCATCCGGGATCTAGAATTCTCTATTGATGGGACTCACACTTCTAGACAAGCCAGTCACCGACACACTGTGGTCCATCTCCATCGTGGTCCTAGAGGCCTGGGGCTGGGACCCACCAGATCAGGCTGCAAAGAGACTCGGATTTCCCGGCCCCTGTCAAGTGCCCAAAGTAAGGACCGCAGTCTGAGTACCCCAACTCTATGCAATCCCACTGTCTTCACCTCCGCCCACTGTCCCGAGTGCTGACCCTCTCTAGTCGAGCGCAGCCCGTCCCGCACCGCAGAGCTTGCTGGGGGTCAGCGAAACTGAGTCAAAAGTCGGTAATCCAGTACGAAAAGAGGTAAAGATCGGATAAAGTACAATACAACGTCGTTGAGGGGCTTGGAAAACAGCACTCCTACCCGACTCTCAAGGCTCGGTGTCTCAAGAATTCAAACCAAAAGAACAAGTCGCCCAACGTGGGGCTCGAACCCACGACCCTGAGATTAAGAGTCTCATGCTCTACCGACTGAGCTAGCCGGGCGTCTCTTGAGACGGGTTTTTGAGCACCATGATTACCAAGGTTGACTTGAACACACTGTATGCTGCGAAAAGTAAGGACAAATGTCCTGGTACTACACAGAGTTAGTCCTACACACTAACTCACCTCGGGTGCCCAGGTTCCTCCCAGGCCAGGGCTCCAAGGTTGCTGCACAGGGAGGACGGAGAACCGGAGAAGCCCCAAGAGGGTGAAACTATGGAGGGCGCGGTAGAGAGATAAGCACGAGCTAAGCGTCCATCTTATCACCCATGCCAGACGGGACTTCCCTTCCATCTGTGCTCGACCGGCCTCCCTCCAATTCACGCCTTTTAACCCGAAAAAATAGGGTCCCAGAGCCAGGAACAGACCCCACACAAATATCTACGCAGGCAGACCCAAGGGCTAAGCCCCACACAACTGGCCCTGGAGGAATGCAGCGGAACAGTGACCTGGATCCGGCTGGCTCAGGGTGGCCCCGGGAAAACAGGTTCGTGGGTTGGGCTCCAACTTGGGCTCTCTATGAATCATAAGAGTCTACTTTGGCGTGCCAGTTGAAGTTCCAAAAAGTCCAGGAATACAGATGCGACACAGTCCAAGTGTCCTCAATGCCTGAATCATACCCACGTGCCTTACTCCAATGAAGAAACCAGCTACCCGGGTAGAACTACGTCCTTAACTGCGGGCGCGTGCACGCTGACCCCCACACCCAGCATTTCTACTCAGACCCCGCTAGGCAAACGCTCAACGACTGTGCTGCCTTCCACATCTTTAAAATTTAAGCTTTGTTGTATTTTTTTTTTAATCCAAGGTGAATTGCCATTTTCTTGGTACATTTCTTTGTATAGAGAAGTCTGCGAAATATCGTAGAAGCCGTGCGCTTCCGTCAAGGACAGAAGGGAGGTCGACCCCCGGAATCGGTGCAGGACACACTCAGACACCAAATTCTTAGCACAAAGGAGATTTATTATCCCGGAGCGACAAGCAGGAGGGACCGACGCGGGGCAGGCTGCAAAGTCAATCAGTAAGCAGTAGTAGACAAGCAATAAAACAGGCGGGTTTTTGTTTGTTTTTGTTTTTGTTTTTGTCGGAGTGGGTTTTAAGAAGAAAAGAAAAAAATCTGTGCTAGGGTGAGTTGGTAAATCCTGATTGGATATATTAGCAAATAATGAATTTTGATTGATGGACCTTGGTGTTTTGTCTCAGGAATGAGTCAGTGGACAATTGGATCTTGGGGGCTAGATTTAGGAATATAATTCTAACGGTTCCAGCAAAGAAGAGAAAGGGTAAAAGACAAAATCCAACGGCGCCACGCTTGCCAGGGCCTGAGTCACTCTAACCAACATCCTTAGTCATCAGAGAAATGCAAATCAAAACAACTCTGAGATTCCATCTTACACCTGTAAGATTGGCCAAGATCAAAAACAACTTATGCTGGAGAGGTTGTGGGGAAAAGGGAACACTTCCGCATTGCTGGTGGAAATGCAAGCTGGTACAACCCCTTTGGATGTCAGTGTGGTGATTTCTCAGGAAATTAGGAAACAACCTTCCTCAAGACCCAGTAATACCATTTTTGGGTATATATCCAAAGGATGCTCAGTCGTGCCACAAGGACATGTGCTCAACTATGTTCATAGCAGCTTTGTTTGTCATAGCCAGAACCTGGAAACAACCTAAATGTCCCTCAATCAAAGAATGGATAAGGAAAATGTGGTACATTTACACAATGGAGTACTACACAGCAGAAAAAATAACGACAGCTTGAATTTTGCAGGAAAATGTATGGAGCTAGAAAACATTATTTTGAATGAGGTAACCCAGATACAGAAAGACAATTATCACATATACTCACTCATAAGTGATTTTTAAACATAAAGCAAAGAAAACCAGCCTACAAACCATAATCCAGAGAACTTAGACAACAATGCGGACACTAAGAGAGACTTACATAGATCTAATCTACATGGGAAGTAGAAGACAAGATCTCCAGAGTAAATTGGGAGAACGGGGACCTTGGGGGAGGATTGAAGGAGGGAGGGGAGAGGCAGGGAGAGGAGCAGAGAAAAATGTAAAGCTCAATAAAAAATCAATTTAAAAAGAAAAGTCAAAATAAATAATAATTAAAAAGAAAAAAAGAATCAGCTCTCAGAATTCCTGGAGCTGGTAAATTTAAATCCCATTTCCCTTGCTCACAGTCAGGACCAAGACCTTACTTTACCTCTCTGCCTAATGTAGGACTCAGCTCACCTTTGCAGCCCTTTGTTGATTACACCAGACCCTGATATCTGAGAGGGTCAAAAGTCAACCTATCAGTAGAAGATAGGGAACTCCGAGTGAGGGGCCTTCCATCCAACAAGTATGGCACGCAGTTGTGAGAGTTTATTTGCTGCTGGCTCCGCATTTTACGACTCCAAGGCAAAAAGATACCTAGTCGCCCAACGTGGGGCTCGAACCCACGACCCTGAGATTAAGAGTCTCATGCTCTACCGACTGAGCTAGCCGGGCAACACATAGGAATGCTTGTCTCTCAGATGTCAGGTTTTACTAACCGTGAACTGACGGTATTAAAGACTGGCTAAAGAAATAAACCCATTTCAGAGATTTCCGAGATTTGGAAACTTCCAAAGTAGTTAAGAATTTTCACACACAACCGAGCCCCGAGCGCCAAAAAGAACCGCAGGAGAGCGAAGGGAGGACCCTGAAGCCAGGGCTGTTTCCTGCGTCCCTCCCTGAGAACAAAACCATTGTCTGAAAGTTAGAGAGAGGAACGTAGCTGAACGACCGCTCGTTCCCCTTCCCCTATTCCCAGCCGCACCTCACTCCCTCCCCCACCCTACCCCCGTCTGGGGGCGTTGGAGCCCTCTTTCTAGTCCCTGCCCTCCAACCTCTGAAGTAAGCGTCCCCAGAGCCGGAGCCTTGGATCACACTTGACCCTGTTCACACAGCAGAGAAACGTACTGCTAATGCTGCGCGCAGCCTCTGCTGGCGCTGGATGCGAGACCCAACCTGGGTTCGCAGCTGCTTTAGGTCTTTGCGCATCTGGTCAGAAGACTGGCATCCAG